GATAGATAGATAGATAGATAGATAGATAGATAGATAGATAGATGATAGATAGATAGATAGATAGATAGATAGATAGATAGATAGATAGATAGACAGAAATAATTAATCTAGGTTATATATATATGACAAAGAACATGGGGTATTTATTTTTCTTTCTCCCCACCTCCACCATTAACTCTCTCTTGTACCCCACCTTCCAGGAAGATTCTTAGTAAAACTGGGATCCTAAGCTAAGGACATGCCTTAGTCTCAAAGGAGAAGCCTAGTGGAATTTTGGTCTTGGAGAGATTCTTGGAGAGTAGCTAACAGACTTGAGAATTTGATGCAAGTTCCCATTTAAGATCGTTGTCAGCTGGGAAGGGGGCTCAGTAGTACAAAGCTGGCCCAGGGTGCACAATGGCCCGGGATTTGATACCCAGCACTACTGAGGAAGGACAGAAGGAAGGATGGGGGGAAGAAGGGAGGGAGGGAGGGAGAAAGGGAGGGAGGGAGGGAGGGAAGATAGGTTGGTAGTCTGGTTGTCTTCATATAGCAAAGCATGGACCCCACATATCCCAGTAACTTTTACCAAAAGGTAAAGGCATACCTTTAGACACAAGGATCACATGCCGACAAATATTTGTCATGGGCCAGTGACTCTCCTGCAATAGCAGACAGGATAGTAAAAGGTCCCTATCTTCATACAACTTTTAAGAGAAACAGAAATGTAATTTAAAAAGCTATCAGTATGAGGTTTTGACTGTACATTCTCTGAGGAAAATAGAGCAGAGTAGAAACTCACAGGGTGGCTGGAGGGGAGCTGTTTTTGTAGGATGCGTCTCTCAGGAAGTGACATTCAAGCAGAGATTAATGTGGGCAGAAGGTAGAAGCCAGCCAAGGGGCTGGGAGGACAGCCCTGCAGGCAGAGGAGACAGTGACATGAAAGCTGGAGCCAGAGGAATCGGCCTGCGGTGCAGATGGTGGCTGGAGTGGTAGAGACGGAATCCGAGCAAAGATTGAGTTTGGCTCTAGAGCAGGGCTCGGGGAGATCAGAGTCCAGCAGATGTGCAGGATCCTGGTAGAGAATTACAGTTGTGCCCCCAAGTGTCCCCAACCCAGGGAGAATTTCGGCAGCAGAGTGAGAGAATCTGAGCTGTGTTTGGGAAAGCTTTCTGAAATGTGCAGGGCAGACACTGAAACAATGGGAGACATTGGCAGCTGGGCAATTGGGAAACGGTGGTGGCTTTCCGGAGATGTGACACAGTGACTTGCAAAGGCGGTGTCAGGTAATGACTCCTGGGGTGTGAGGATGAATATGTGAGAGGCCAGGAAAGACAATTAGGAGAAGAACACAAGAACAGGGTCGTCTGGGGACAGTAACGTGAGTTCTGTTTTAGATGTGTGGTGACATGTCCACCAAGAGCATCAGAGTCAATACCAGCCTACTCATGTCTTCATCCAGAAGGGGCACACGGAATGTATGAAGCCTAAATAATTCATCACCGGGCGCAATTATTGAACTGGATGCTGCTGTGTTCATGTTATTGGAAGAGGAAATAGGAAGGACCAGCGTGTTTTCTGGAGGACCTCACAGCCAATCAGAGAAGAGAAACAGTGTCTGGAAGAGGGAGGACTTGTGGGATTGTACAGTTTAGGATGTGGGAAAGTATCTGGGAAGGTGTCCGCGGTGCCTCTTGGAGCCCAGGATGGGGGGCGTCGGGGCGTGTATCTGAGAATAGAGCAGGACCAAGAAATGGCCAGGGTGTCCATGTTGCCAAAACCATTGTGATGAAGAGTGACCCCGAGGGGAAAAGCAGGCACAAGAAAAGCACTTGGTGAGTGGGAGGGTATTGGGAGCCTAGGGGATCCTGAGACAAAGAGTGAATTGATGTCAGCAACAGGGATAGGGATAGTTCAGGGGCCGAGAGTTGACTCAGCAGGCAGAGGTGATTGATAATGACAGGCCTGATGACCTCAGCTCAGTCTCCAAGAGCCACAAGATAGGAGAGAACCGCCTATAAACTGTCTTCTGCTCTACACACACACACACACACACACACACACACACACATGCACGCACGCACGCACAAACATACATACATAGACACATATACACACATACAAACAGACACATACCTACACACACACACTAAATATATAAGAAAGTACAGCAACAGAAACAGAACCCACCAAGGTGTGACTTAGGAAGACAAACAGTCCCAAGTCCAGAGTCTCGACGGCATAAAGATGCTGCAGGAAATTCAAGTCCCGTCAGCAGGAAGTGTCCGAGTTTGATGACTGGATGGGGTGGGACCTGAGGAACCAAAATTCGATCTCTGTGAGAAAACTGTACGAAGGGTGAGGAGTGTGTGCTCACTGACTGCCCAGGACCTGGCAGGAAACACTCCACGAATATATAGACGGCACAGGAAACTGCCGTTGGGCCCAGACACTAAACTTTGGCTGCGTTTAGTTAGGTAAATCCTACTCCACCGTTCACATGACCTTATTCAATAGTTTCTCCAGAAGGTTATTTGACTTGGAATGTTTGGAAGGGCCGGGTTTAGCTCTGGAGACGGACACTGGGAAGCTAGTGGAGGAGACTTACGGTCCAGGTGGGATGTTATTCTGTGTCTTGTTGATGCAGCAGAGACCTGAGCAGGGTGAGGCCTGACAGTTATGAGAGAGAGAAACGTAATCCTTCAAATCAGGTCCTCGAAGAAAGAGCAGGGGAAGAATCCAGAATGTCATAAGTCACTTGTCTGGGGCCGGAGGTTGAAAGTCCCTCCCTGTGGATTCCAATGACGGTGTGAGAACAGACGCTCCCACTTGGCCCCAGTGCTTCATCTGAGAGCTGCTGGTAAACATGGAAAAGCCAACAGCTCGGGGCTCTGAAAAGAACAAAGATGGTTTAGAAGGACAGGTGGGGAACATCAGTAAAAACCAGCCAGCCAGACACGTGGCACAGAACTTCCAAGGTCGGCAGAGTCACCAAACAGACCACAGTATCTGTGTGAGCAGCGCTCAACCCTTGTGGAGAAATCGGGGTTCTGTTGCCTGGTTGGTGGGTGGGTTTTGATTTTGTTTGGTGTGGGTTTTTTTAAAAATATTTTTTTAAATATATTTTATTACTTTGAGTGTGTGAGTGTTTTGGCTGGGTGTATGTCTGTGTATCACATGCGTGCCTGGTGCCTGAGGAGATGGTAAACCTCCTTATTATGGGTGCCAGGAGTTGAGCCTGGGTCCTTTGCAAGAATAACAAGTGCCCTCACCACTGAGCCAAATCCCTAGCCCTGGTTTCCTTTGTTTTGAGGAAGTCTTCTCAGCTACCAGAGAATTAAGAGCAGAGAAAGGGACTGTCCTGCTGAGCCACGGTTTGAAACTTCCAGAGAAAGCTGAGCAGACCCTTCTGTGCAGGAGGGTCTCAGGTTGTTGCTAGGAGACTAGGTGAGCTGTCATGGTAGCACATGAGGATCGTGATGTCAGAGTGCCTGCCCTCTGGCTTGTGACACGGCCAAGTGCCGTGTGCCTTCGATCATTTCATCAGTGTTATGTCAAGAGGATATTGAGGCACAGCCTTAGGGCTAGGGCGGGCTGATTCTCCAGGCCGTGCTCTTAACTACGGCAGCCTGTGTTCATAAACCTCTAAGTTGATGTACGGTGGGAATCAGCACAGGATTGGCCGGATGAAATGAGAGGGAAAGGATTTACAGGAAGTAGGAGTCCTGGCGAAGAAAAGTGGGTAGAGTCAGAAAAAGCACTGGTGAGGCCACGTCCGAGTGATGTGTTGGAATTTAGAGTTTCAGAACTAGGCAAGCAAACTCCAGGTGAGGAAGTTGCTGAAGTTATTTGGAGTGGGGGACGAAATTCAGATGGGGCGATCTGGGAACGGGAAAGCCATACAAGAAATCACCATCAGCTCAGTTCACTGAGTTTTTAGGATG